AGCTCGTCAGCGAACAACGGCTCTGTGTAGTTAATGCTGCTCAATTAGTTAAATTTATTTTAATGTAAAAATACACAATTAGAAGTAAATAAGTTAATACTTCAGCTAGACTTTTTTTTTTTTTCTCATCTACATTAGCATTACAGAATAATTTAGATCAATAATTGGAAAGACAACAAAAACTTTAAAGTTACTAGTTAGTTGTTGTTTTTTTATGATACAACTTTAGTAATTGTAACCAAAACATGTCATAAATGTATGAATGCATATTTGTCATACTAAAAATTTATGAGCAGGTGGTGATTCTTGAGACATTATTGGCCATTTTTCTGTAAAAACACTTAGAATTTAAATCGCATGCGATTTATCATGCAGCCCTAATCCTAACATAAAACTGTAGAGATTCTTCTGAGCGGGTGTGTGTTTGTCCTCCAGACTCAGGTGGCGTGTGTTTGGAGGCGAATGGTCTGTGTCTCAGCGGTGGGGAGGATCTTGAGGAGGGTGTGCAGTTCTCAGTCTGGGTCTCGTTTTATGAGATCTACAACGAGTTTCTTTACGATCTCCTGGACGCTCCACCTTCACTTCAGTTTCGCAAGAGAGCCACACTACGCCTCAGCGATGACAAACATGGAAATCCTTACGTAAAGGGTAAAAATCACAAACTAGGGATGGGCGCTATCTTAGCGTTTGCGAGAGTCTGGTAAAAATTCTCCCCATGATAAGAATTAGTCCTCCCGCGATAACAACGATAAAACATGGCGACATGGCGGAAGGCAGACGTGAACCTGAGGAGGAGTTTATCGCTAAATGAGGAGCTGTTTGGTCAGAGCTGTACACTGCGACAAAAAAATCGGTCAGAGCCTTGAATAAATGTGCTACAGTAACACAGTTTGCATGTGTATGAGCCTGTTTACAAACCTGTTGTCCAACAAAGATTAACATACTTTACATACTTTTACTCCAAATTCATGTTATCAGACCTGGTTGCATATTACAGAATGAGGCAGAAATCCTATGTCGATTAACATTGCATTATAAATATACTTTATTCTAATAAAAATACCCAAGATGGCTTGAACACGGATAAACCATAGATTGTCACAATCGTGTTTGTCTTCATGTTTGATCAGTTTATATGTTCTTTTTACTCCGCTACAGCGGTAGCTGGATGTCTTTGTCCATATAAGGGATTTCCTGGAACGTCATCAGTTCTATTACTTCTGTGATGCATATGTGGAGTTTATGCGCGAGGGTGCCCTCTGGAGTCCAGTATGAATGAAACGAACATTACATTACATTACGTGTGTGCTCACAACACCCTATTTTTTTATGTCTCAGTGGATGCATATGAGTTATCGTCATTGATATCATTATCGCAATAAAAACCAGAAAATTTCGTGATATAGTTTTAAGTCCTAAGTCGCCTATCCCCATCACAAACAGAACAGAAATTACATTTTCAGTTACTAATTTAAATGTGTATCAATTTCCTCTTGACTTTTTACATTTCTTTCAATTTTAATCATACTGAATGATTCATCTCCTTGCTTTAGATCTGACCTGGATTCAGGTACAGAGTGCAGAAGAGGCCTGGAAAGTGCTTAAAGTTGGACAACGCAACCAAAGTTTTGCCAGCACTCACCTAAACCACAACTCCAGCCGCAGGTACATCATGAGCGATGCTGTGAAGTGAAATTCACACTGTTTTCTTTATGCATTTTACTGTTCTTATTGATCTTATTTCATCCATGTGTATGTTTCATTACTAAAACCTCAAACATCTGATCTTGCAATGGTTTATCAAAATACTGTAATTGGATCTTCATTCAGGACCCACATCTCAAAATCCTAATCCTTGTCCTACGCTTTCTTTCTTTTCTAATGATCCATAACAGTGAGATGTACATCATAATACAGAAAAACAGATGACTTTAACTAACTTCAAGCTGCCGACACATTTACCATTGTTCATTGAATTTCAGTAATTTCAATGTGAATCCACACAACTGGGCAAAATATAATAATAATGTATTTTCTTGGCATTTTTAGCCATAGTATCTTTACTATCCGTGTTCTACATGTCAAGCCTCAAGCGGAGCTGGGACAGGTGACCAGAATCAGCGAGTGAGTCCATCCACGTTACCGTTTTAATTGCTGTATTGGACTGAACCCTGTAGAATTATTCTGCCGATTAAAAGACCTCAGAAGGTTTTAATGTGGAGCTGTCATGTGTTTCTTCCCGGCAGGCTCTCTATGTGTGATTTGGCGGGGTCTGAGCGCTGTAAAACCCAGCAGAACGGCGAGAGAATGAAGGAGGCGAACAACATCAACACCTCTCTGCTGACGCTGGGCCGCTGCATCACTGCTCTGAGACACAATCAAACCAATAAGTGAGTGTGGCGCTTCACGATACTAGAGCGTGAGGGTCCGCTGGGGGCCATAAACAGCCTGATCAGGGCTCCAGACTAACATTTGAGATAAGTTCTAGAGATGGTGGCCCCAGGAGCAGATTTGGTATTGCTGGGGGGAATATTTAATCTTAAAATTACTATTGATTTGCATTAATAAGTGCTGTTAAGGCCCGTTCACACCAAGCACGATAACTATAAAGATAAC